TGAAGAGAGGATAGGACCTTTACTAGGTATTGTACATGATTCTAGCCACACAGTCCCTATTGTAGCTGGAGAAATTCTTTTTCCGACAAACTATCTTATTTGGTAATTGTGCTCCTTATTTTGTAATTGTGTTGCTTCTTTAGATAATATTGAGCAGTAAGCTTAGCTTCTCTATAATATAAACACAATCCTTCTTGGCGATGTCCAGTCTTTTCCTACTTCATGAGAAGTTTAAAACATATCATATCAATTTGCATTGGTTTCGGCTTTGACAATTACGTTTTAAAAAACTTAGGAGCTGTCGCCATTACTTGACTTGTTCTTCTCTAATTAAATCTTTGTTCTTGATGTCTTTCAAATAAACGATTATCGCATGTAATGGCTTGAGTAATAAATTGTTCCAAAGATTCTACTTTTGGCATTGTTAATAACAAATCTTTGACACTATCCTTCAATCCATATCGAAATTGGTTGATAAGTACTTTGTCGTTCTAGTCTACATTGCAAGAAAGATTTTGGAATTTGGCAGCATATGTAGTAGATGATCGTGATTCTTGTCGTAAGGATAGAAGTTTGGTCTTTGCTACTTGTTTTCAATCACTTTTTCCGAATGTGGTCGTAAACACTTCTAGAAATGAATTCAAATCGTAAAGGAGTTATGAATCTTTTTCCATTAAAGGTGCAAATCAAGAAAGAGCACTTCCTGATAGTAGTGTGCCTATAAATCCGATTGGAGTAAATCCATCAGGATATTGGAAAGGGTGCAACCTTAGATAGAGCTTGACTTGTTGCAAAAATCTTCAAAAATTTGATCTTGTTCTATCAAACTTCTTACGCATACTAATCCTTGTCCCTGTCATATTTGTAGAAGTAAAACTCCCTAGATTTGGTTGTGACGTTGATCTACTTGCTTCTTTCAACTACACAACTTCTTGTTGCAGACTTTGAACTTCTTCCATAGGCGTAGGCATAGTACTTCCATTATTCACATTGAAAATATGTGAGATTTTTACTCTTAGAGTATTGACAAGTTCATGAAGATCTGCTATAGTTATAAATCTATTCTCACTTCTATTGAGAGTAGCATCCATAATCTTTCCTTCCATAGACAACTCAAACGAATTCAAAAGTTAAATTAGAGGAAGGTAATCCGCAACCTCTAAAAACAAATTCCACAAAGAGGGATAATCCACTCTCTTTAAGAAAAAGATCAATGTTACAAAATAAGATTTTTTGTTTAAAGGTGGATAGTTCGCAACCTTCAAAATACAATAATAGAAGTGGAGTAATCCACTCACTTCTAAAACGAGACAGAAATAATATGCAAGCACTCTTCTCAAACTGTCAAGGATATAAATCTCGAAGAAAGGGAATCCTCAATACACTCTTCTATCACTGATGAGAACTAGAAAGTCACTCAAAAGGTGATGTAATATTAACTAGAATGGCTATTGCCAAAAACAAGAAAACTAGAAAGTCTTGAAACAAGTCTAAGACTAGAAAGGCGTTGACAAGAGTGAAGAAGCCTTCACTCTTGCCTCCATATATATTATCTAATTAAGAGCTACATGGTAATGTCCTATAGGACCTCCAACATGTGTTGACTTTGCTAACCACATGTCTTATCTTACAAGGTAAGTTATCTATGTATGCACCACTTAGTTGGCTTATCCACAAGCTACTACACAGAGGTAACTTATTTCACAAGCTACCAATACATGGTTAGCTTTTTGGCCAAGTTTCTAACCTACGAACACATCTAAATTCAAAACCACATCTATGAAGCTTCTAGGAAGTTATTCTAGAGGATTTTATGAAACTATTCTATTTTATCTACTTCTACTTAATTATATAAGTAACTATTGAGATAAATATATATATCCGTGACACTGGATTAGAAGGAGATCTAATGATATTAAATATTACAAAGCTACTATGACCATTATTTGTTATTTCTGTAAGAAGGATTTCATGAATAACATCTCTTGAAGACAACGGATGACCATCTATAACTTCTACATGAACAGGTTTAATTTTCTTCACTAAAAGTATGCTATATCTTTTTACAAATTCTTCATCTAAGAAACATGCTGAGGCTCTTGAATCTAGCAAGGCAAAGGCTTTGTGATGTTTAGGTCTTAGAATAACATTTATCGTTAAACATGGAGAGGGTTCTGAGGGGAGGATAGGACCTTCACTAGGCGTTGCACAAGGTTTCAAGCGCACGGTCCCTATTGTAGCTGGACAAATTTTTTTTTTCGACATACTATCTTGTTTGATCGTCGTACTCTTCATTTTATGGTTGCGTCATTTCTTTGGGCAATATTGAGCAATGTGTTTAGGTTCTCCACAATGTAAGTACAATCCTTCCTAACAATGATGAGTCTTTTCTTGCTCAATAAGAGATTTGAAATGTATCGCATCAATTTGCATATCATCCACTTCCGAATGTATGTGTTGAAGAGATATTGATATTGCTATTGAATTATAGTAACATTGAGGTCCACTTATACGATTCTCAGATCGAAATTCAAAAAGACAATTGTCGCACTTCATAGCAAAGTCAATTGCTTGACTCAATGTTTGAGGATCAGGTAAGTTGAGCATTAATTTTTTTTACCTCATATTGTAATCCGTAGAGAAATTGACTAATAAGTGCAGCATCATTCCACTTGATATTAGTTGCAAGTCATCAAAATTGTGAAGCATACAACGTTACTAATCAATTACCTTATCGTAAAATATGGATCTTATTGATTGTAACACGAATTGCATCATGTTCTCCAATTATGGATCAAAACTCCACCAAAAAAGCCTCAGGATTATCCAATATTGGATCTTGTTGTTCAAGAAAAGATAAAAACTATGATAATGTTGAACCTGAAAGAAGCGTATCAATGAATCTAACTTACAATCTTGGAATTGGATAGCTTTGGGGTTGAAGTTCAATCACAAGTTGTACTTGATTGATAAATCCTCTAAATTTTGATCTCGTGCCATCAAACTTCTTGGGTAGGACAATTCTTGGTTCTCTAATACTAGAAGGGCATTCCATCATAGGAGAAGAAACATAATTTGGTACAGATGTTGAAGCAACTTCAATCATTTCTATATCTTCACTTCCTACCAATCTTGTTACTCCTTGTAGTGATACATTGAATTGATGCATCGCAAGCATTAACTCCCTCAATTGCTCTTGCATTTATGCCATTGCACTCTTCATTTCAACAAGTTTTGCCATGATAACACTTAGAAAAGAGAAGATGTCTAATATCGCTCAAGACAAATAGAAGAGAGGACTTGAGAACAAAGAAAATACTAAAGACAGTATCAGTTTAGAAGAAGGTAATCTGCAACTTCTAATATACTTATGTCTTATCAAGAGAAAGGGATAATCCGCTCTTAATCAAGATTAGACAAAGCTCTGATATTGTAAGTGTATTCTTATCAATCTTTCAAGGATAAAAATATGATAAAAATAAATAAACAAGTGAGACTTCTTTCAAAGAAAGATGACAAAATAGAAATAACTCAATATGTGTATTAAGAAAGAAACTGGAATGGTTATTGCCAAAAGCCAAGAAAGCTAGAGACCCTTGAAACTAGACTGGAAGCAAGAAAGGAGTTGACAAGAGTGAAGAAGGCTTCACTCTTGTCTCTATATGTACTATCTAACTAGAGGCTACGTGGCAATGTTCTATAGGACCTTCAATATGTGTTGACTTTGTATGACACATGCCTTGACTTATAAGGCAAGTTTTTCTACGTGTGGGCCACATAGTTAGCTTGGTTTTCAAGCTAACAATATGTGTGGCACATGGCCAACTTGTTGACCACGTTTTTAATCCAAAAAGTCAATTAAAGACACCTATAAAGTCAAAGCAGCATCTATGAAGCTTCTAAGAAGCTATTATAGCAAATATTATAGAATTAACTTACTTTTACTTACTTTTACTTACTTTTACTTACTTCTACCTATTTATACATGTAATTATTGGCTTACATGCATATGTCCGTAACACAAGGTGCGATAATTTGGTGGCAATCGATGGTAGTTTGGTGACAATTTGGTGGTAGGGTGCAATAATACAATAGTACAACGACAACACCAACATAAAACAATAATAGCAACAACACAAGAACATTAACATAGGAAGAAAAAAAAATTGAGAAAAAAATGAAGGATAAAGTGCACATAAGTTTTTAAGAACCAAGATTAGAGTATAAGAGCAATTGTGCTTTTAATGTTTTAGAGAGAAAGAGACAAGAATAGCTAGAAGTAACATGCACACATATATAAACACACACACACACACACACATACAAAAAAAAGTGAGTTTATTGATAGGATTATATCTCTTATACAAAGAGAAGGAGAGAAAATAAACAATTTCTCTTCACTACATTCCAAACACTATAGCTATGGTAAATACTGTAGACTACAGTAAATAACATGGAGAGCGCACTCTTCACTACATTCCAAACACTATAGCTATGGTAAATACTGTAGACTACAGTAAATAACATGGAGAGCGCACTCTTCACTACATTCCAAACACTGTAGCTATAGTAAATACTGTAGACTACAGTAAATAACATGGAGAGCGCAGGCTACATTTAATGCTCTCAACACTCTCCAAAGCTATCAAAATTGTCGGTAACCAGCGTCGCAAAACAGACTTTCTTGCCTGGCAGCGGCGGGGGCATTGAAGTCAAGAGGGCCTGTAAGTAGGGGATTGAAGAGGATGAGTCGGGAATTCATTGCAGGTGGGGATTCAGATGGTCGACACTGTACCAGGTAAGGTGCCGAGTCGACGGTACTGTGATGGTACTAGGTCGCCTCCACTTGGGGAAAAGATTCGGCTCCAGTTTTCTAGTGAGGTTTTGTCACTTTTCCCAGAGTCAGCGTCCTGTTCTGGTCTAGATTGCTGGTCAGGAGCGGAATGATTGGATGATTGAATGATTCAGAAGTTGGTAGTTTGAGCGTTGGGAAGGTGAGTTTGATGTGTGTGTGTGTTCGGGGTCGCGTGGGAGGAAGAGAGCGAGAGAGATCTGGCCACTGAGCTGTTGTGTTGAGACTTGCTGGTGCATATGCGGACGCCGAGTGGGCACGGAGAGTGACTTTCGAACGTCAACTGAAAGGGGTAGGAATATGTGCTACGGAACAGGTCGCTGGAATGGTCGGATCTGACAAAGTAGGCACAATCTGGGAGGATTCGAAGAGTTGAATCGATTTCGAAGAGAGCTGCACTTGGGTTCTCGTGTAGAGTGATTGCTGGAAGGTTTATATATGCAGGAATCAGGTTTATAGAAGCGTCGAGTAGTTGTTGGAGACTCGTTGATCATTTTCCTTTGGCAAATAAGTATCTGGAAAGACATTGCAATGGTGTTGTGTCGTATTTAGGATTGAGGTTGTAGTGCGTTGGAGAGAAAATAATGAGCACAGCGTGGATCGAATCGTTTTTCTTGTCGTATCCGAAATCGGAGGGGCATTGTTCTTTGGAAAGTAGGAATGTTGCATTTTAAAGCTGTCAAGCTAGTCCTGCTGCACAGACAAAGATGAGGGGCATGGGTAGAGTAATAAATGATACCGTTTCACACAATGGCAGGTTTTGTTTCCCAAGTTTTTGAGAGATCTGTTGGTTCTTATGACAGGATGGCGAGCATTGATCTGCAAGCGAGCTGCTGATCTAACCTGCCTGGAGCTTGATCTCGAGTAATTTTATTTGTTGTTTAGCAGGACAGCCTTTCAAAAACATTCCAAGTGGGTGCAGAAATGTCTGCCGATTCAGACGTTGCGAATTTCGAAGGAGACGACCCTAAGCGCGCACGCCATACGGTCATTCTCGGATGGAGCAACAAAATCCCTTCTCTGCTGAGGCAGCTAGTAGCTCACAACCACAATGAGCACGGACTGCAGATCACAGTAGTTGCGGCCATGGAGGTGGAGCAAATGCAGGTCGAAATCAATCACCACATGGACGACTTGGTCGGTACGAGCCTCAAGCTCATATGTGGCAGCCGTCTTGACACACAAATCCTCCGCAAGGCCTCAATTGACACGGCCCAAGCTGTGATCATCCTTGCTGAGAGCCAAGACGCCGAGGAGAGCGACGAGCTCGCGGTAATCATCGTCATAAAAATACTCAAGGTAGTGGACACAGCCCATTTCAGAGGCCACATTGTGGTGGAAGTCCACGACGTTGAGAACGAGCCCTGGATTAAGCAAGCAGGCCGTGGATTAGTGGAGACCGTGGTGGCCAAGGAAGTGATTACCCGTCTCATGGTGCAATGTGCTCGTCAATCGGGCGTCGCACAAATCTGGCGAGACATTTTAGGGTCCGAGAGAGTGGAGTTTTACATCCAGCGGTGGCCGGAGCTGGACGGGATGCGCTTTTCCAACGCGCTTATTAGCTTCCCAGATGCCATTCCATGCGGAGTCAAGGTGGCCTCCCGGCGCGGCAAGATCGTGCTCAACCCTGACGACGATTACATCCTTGGAGAAGGTGACGAGGTGATCGTCATCGCAGCAGACCACGACTCCTACACTCCATCCACTTCGACCTCAGTAGCCCAAGTATTCCCACTCCGCTCGCCAATAGAAGTCGAGCAAGCGAAGCCAGTGAAAAAGATTTTGTTCTGCGGATGGCAGTCCGACATGGACGACATGGTATCCATTCTAGACCATGTGTTAAGGCGAGGCTCGGAGCTTTGGATTTTCAGCGAGGAGCCGCAGGAGGAGCGGGAGAAGCGATTCAATGAGAAGGGCATCGTAGTCGCGGACCTCGAGAATGTGAAATTGAGCCACTACTCGGGCGAAGCAACACGAAAGAAGGATTTAGAAGCCTTGCCACTGGAGACATTCGACTCAATTCTGCTCGTGGCAGACGGAGGAGCCTCCTTCGACGCTGAGCAGGAGCTGTTGTCCACCCTTATCCTGATCAAGAGCATTCAAGCGAGCCGGATGCCATACAGGGAGGCGAGAGCGGTGCACATGCTGCCGGCGGGGAACAGCAAAAGCTCCTGGATCGATGAGCTCCAGCACAACTCCGCGCAATCGATCATCGTCAGCGAGGTGCTGAACGCGCGAACGAGACAAGTGCTTGGCCAAGCGGGATCCCATGATTCCCAGGAGATAGAAATCTCCGACGAGATGGTGAGCATGGCATTGGCGATGGTGGCGGAGGACAGGCGCATCGGGGGCGTTTTAGACGAGCTTTTCGCCGAGCAGGGAAACGAGATGGTCATGCGACCAGCGGAAGTGTACTTCGACCAGGAGGAGGAGCTCAGTTTCTTCGACATCATGGTGCGCGGGAGGCAGCGCAGGGAAATTGTGATCGGATACCACTCCCTGTTTGAAGACACCCCAGTAATCAATCCGTGCCACAAAGCGGTGAAGAAAAAGTGGTCCTTCCAGGACAGCTTCATCGCGCTCGTGGAGCGGCAATAATCTGCACAGCCTCCCGCCTCGTTAGTTTCGAACCCACAATCTCAGTCCCTCAAACCCTTTGCATTCCTGTTCGTGAATGTTTTCAATCTGGATAGCCTTCCGAGATTCAAAAATCCTAACTCAAACCCCCTCCATCTTCTTACCAATGGTGCAAGGCAACAGTTCCTGTTTCTAGACATTTCTTGAAGGCTTTTCAATGCTGCATTGAGGCAACAAAGATATATTACAAGATTGCTAATTCGAGAAGATTTATTTCAAAGATATGTTCCTCTTGGTGGCAATGCAGCTCTAGGATAATCTCAACATGCAACCTGAATCAGAATGCAGAGACGAAGTGATTAAAATGTAATCTAATATGGCGGAATCATAATCATTGTCCAGAAGCTGTCTCTCCCGTTCTTAGTATTTTTTCCCTCTTTCTACGGAGTGAGTCTGGCGCAGTTCTGCATTATTAACAGGTAGACGACGTATTCTTCTCAATAAGAACATTGTTCTGGGGTTAACTCTGACCCCAGAGTCTAAAATAAAGCTCTGCGATGTCTTTATCGAATTTTTTGAGCTTGTACGCTGCTGGCGGAGATGTTCTAACCATCATCTTCACCGCATTCTTCGTTGGGGTATTCGCCAAATCATGTCAGCGTCGACCTTTCCCACCACACATTATAGCCACTCTTCACAATTCTTTTCTTGCATTTTGCGGCTGAAGGTGAGAATAACACAGGAGTTTTTGACGCTAGTGTCCATTTCAATATGTTCCTTGGTTTTATTACAGTTGTAGTTCCAAGATGTGTATATGTAACACAAAGATGAGAGTAATTTATTGAACAGGAAGAACGAGTCTTTCAAACCATGTATTTTTATAACTACAGTACTTTAAAAAGGGAAAGAATGATGACACAGTTGGAAGGTGAGCAAAACGGTTATGATATGTTCCACTGCATTAGCACACCCACATTGTGTGATCGAATTAGAGCCATAAGTTTCTGTTTTCTGAGAGCCTTTTCATCATCTGATCAGTGTCTTCCCTGTTAAGGCTTTCAAGGGATCAAACTAGAACTAGTTGGCATAATCATGTCTAATCGCGAGATTTTTGAGGTCACAGCCGTTTTGGTGGAGCAGTGAATAAGTGGTGACAAGATTGTCTGATGGCAATCGCTTTTCAACAATTCAGCAGACATGAGGCAAACTTGCTCTTGTGAAATACGAATTACCGATCTGATGCTCAACAAATCCACTTACAAATACTCAAGTTACGTGTGTGTGTGTATGTGTACGAAATAAATAGCTACTTACAACCGTAGGTAACGACATTATTTCACCTGATGAAACTGCCACCAAACTGTGCACACTTCTATAAGTTACCAAAAGTGCTCGTGGTACGACAAAAAAACCCATGCTAGTTGATTGCCATAATGCAAGCTTTTGGAAGGACGTGAACTGTAGAAACTGACGATCTGTAAAGCTAGGCCTTCACTATTAAAGGGGGAGTTTCTTCTTTTCAGCTGCAGTTGGGTTGAGGTGTCAATCTCAAGAGCACTGCCCCTAGATTTCCTCTTGTCACCAATTTTCATCGCCTGGTCGTTCATTGAGTTCCCTGTAAACCATGGACCACCTTGAAGAATAATGGTCACTGCAGAAAATTCGTGAATCCGACAGCTCAATGTGCTGATCTCCAGTTCTTCTGCTATTGCAACTGAAATCACAAATGGTAAACGAGAGAAACGTGACCGGGTCAATAGGGTTTACTGATACATGATGCTATCCTGTCAAGCACCAGCTCATGAGACCACATTATCGATTGACCTGAATTTTGAGATGTTCTTCTAGAACAAGCATGATTGCTCCGAAGCGCAAGGTAGACCCGACTGCCGTTTCTCATCAGGCATGAAATTCTGCTTGAGTTTTAGCAGAGAAACTCCTTTCCGTCTACGCCGACATTGAGCAATTCTTCACAGAAAAAGGTAGGAGAAAACTTCACAAAGGCTTTTGCCGGGTCAGGTGCCAGTAGAGCAAAGTGAGAAACTGGTTTGTTTTTGTTTTTGTTTTGTAGTGTGTTTTTATGTCTTTGAGGGTTCGAAATTGCACAGTTGATAACTAAATGCACATAATTGCAGGCAATTAAACTCTGGGACCCAGCCAGTCGGTGACTGAAACAGGTCATCGAAAACGCCGAAGAGTCGGTACCACATACTGCGCTGACTCAGGCCTGCAATACAATCTCCAAGCTAGAATACTAGTGTTGAGCTTGTATCCTACACGAGTCGTCAGTTGCGAAGGTCCATGGAAGTGTGAATTCGCTCGCGGTAATCTGGGTCCCAATTCCACCATGTCTCGGTGAATCATCACATGCAGAGCCTGACAATGGCGTCATGCCATGAGACTGACAAATAAGTTGATAATGTGAACTACAGCAGCATGTGCTGTGGCAGGACAAAAACAGTTTCACTGTCTGTGGATGATTGATGTTAAAAAAACTCTTCCTGATTGTGAGCTTTTAGTTTCTCACCACATGAAGGAAAGCATAACTGTCTTCATGTGTGCAGTATAATCTGGCATACATTTTGTTGGCAGTTGTGTGTTGTTGTTTGTATTTCCTTTTCTTTTCTTTTTCTTTTGCCTAACGTCTCAATCACATCTTAGTGGGTAAATATAGAGAACAAACCAGGTTGAATTATACTTAATGTCTACATAAAATAAAATGATAGCAACTTAAATTTTGGGGGGTCAATTTAAGTAAAGGATAAAGATGTATTTGAATTTGATAATGTATGGGACCCACAATTGTGCTCTACCTGTTAACATGTCTGCTTATGAATATTTCACAAAGGGCTTGAAGAGTTAACATACATCGATCAATGCCCATCTGTGTGTATGTTAATTAATTCATTTGTTTCCACTATTGAAAAATGCATTTTAAAGGTATTTTTTATTTTGTTTTTTTGTACTTTTCCACTACCTGAATGCCAGCTCTTAATTACAGAATGACCACTATTTGAATAAAAACACACTTCGTAACTGATAAAATTCAGAGCCCTTTCATGAATTATGCAACATGGGTCCAGCACCCAAGCTGCATCTGCAAAAAAAGACAAATAAAAGAAACAAAAATAAAGGTTCTAATAATTTTATAGATGATTTGGAGCTTCCGAATGGAAAGAAAGGCTAGTACGATAACCCGTCATGCCACATATAATGATCTGGAAGCTTGCCATGAAGCTTGGACCCATGTTTTCCCTGAACACACACCTAAATCATCATGCAGATTACAGAGCCAGCATAACCTCAAACTCCGGAACCACATCATGGCATGCCATATGTTTGTTGAGCAGGCCAGTCATTACAAGATGAATTTTCCTTCTTTTTGTTTATTTGTGTACATATGTCCACACACTAACAGGTCCTGTCCAAAGAACACAATATGAATATAAAATAACTAAAATAAATAAAACCCACTATTCTGCAGATCACGTTACAACCGGCTTCTCCTGCGGAGTTCAACCTCCCAAAAGGAAGAGTAAACTCTGATACTACCTCAATTGCGGACCCAAGTGGGTCCCATGCAGATCCGAGCATCCAGAGCGACTGCGAGGTGGGTGGATTCACAGAGGGAGACCCACACGCACAAGCACATGCAACCAGGTTTGCCAGAAGCTGGGAAATCGTTCAATGTGGGTGCGGCACCTGAAGGTGGTGGAGTAGCAGGCACCTCCGGGATGGACATTCTGTTGGTGATCAGAAAACGAGTTTTGACTTGTAATTTCGGCGTTGGGATTACTCACCTCGATGCCGAAATAATGGAGGCACCTTAGGGACCAGGATACCGTCCTACCTGCAGAAGGCCAGCTCAGTGATTGGAACGCCTCCACCAGTCGTTCAACTCGCCAACTGGCGTTGGTCATTATTCCTCAGGTTGAGTGCGGGGCAGGGGAGGAGGGGTTTGGGGCTAGCCCAGAGGAACATGCCAGGATTGATCGTTTTTTTCCATTATTTAGTCAAAAGCAGGGCCAGGCGAGCGTCACGGGACCGGCAAGAAATCCGTCCCTCCCGGCTTGAATGTTTCCTCAAGCTGACAGGAAAGAGAAGACTGCACCTCGCTGCACCCTGGCAATAAATACACTTTTTTCATTGAGCTTCGAGGTTCAATCTGCGCGGGCCCAGATCGAAGGATCCATACCGGTGGGATCATACTTGCTGCGCGCAGCTGGTTCCAGAACCTGAAGGGATTGTGGAAGGAAACCAGTCAGCTTGTCATACAAGAGACTAAGGAAGAAAAATGTAAATAGTAATTCGATGGACTAGCCGATTCTGCAAACGTATACATGTTTTGGTTATGTTAAAATTAGTTCCAGAGTGGGGGTGGGGGCTTCCAGGCTGCACACATGGGCGTCTCCCGAGAGAACATGATGGAGCACGAGAACGTGGAAAGGAGCACTGCAACCTGATGAAAAGTCTGATTAAGGGGCCCACACCGGACGCCGGAACCGCAGTAGGCAGGTGGGGGTAGAAGCTCAGGAGGTGGACACAAGGTACCGCGTGCTTGACTTGTGGTCACCTGCTCCGGGTCTCCTCTTGCAACAATCAGAGCTCAAGTTGAGTTTCAAAGAAGCGTGGCACGAGGAGTCTCATAACAAAATCGATTCTATTCTCGGATAAGAGCCCTGCTGCAACAGCCCAATGCAAGAGTAGGTATCAGAAACAATGCTTCCAAGTTATAAGATAAGGTGGCAGCAGCAAGGCACTGCAGGAGATATAAGCAGAAAAAAATTCTCAAGCTGAAAAAGAATGATTAACATATGTCTGCGTGGGTCACATCATACGTACACCCGCCTCTCTTGCAACATCAGCGTATGCAGTTGAAAGGGACCAATAAAATTACAACCAGTACTATAAAAATGTATAGATCCAAAATCACAAATTCCATTCGACATTGGTGTCTGCTGCTGCTACGAAGGCATTGAAAAAGAAGTGCCTCCTATACCTATCATCTACAAGCAACTGAAAGGTTTCACAACGAAATACACTCATGCCGTTCCTCCTAGCAAAATCAGGATGAGGGAGGGGAGGGGAACTAATAGGGGGTACAATTTAATCGGCTAAATTTCTGAATCTCCTAAGCCTCTTTCTGTGTCTTACTATCTCCCATGTACAAAGTCTCTTCATAAGATCCCCAAAAGAATATATTCACCCAGCTAAAAAAATTTGGCTTCCAAATTTTCTCCTCCTAGGGCTTTACAGCCGCCCTCATTTCCCTCATGCTTTTGTCATCCACCCCGAAGTCCACCCGAGACCCAAGAACGGCCGTCGTGCTTGTCAAGCATGTCGAAAATTCCAGCCCCGACGCGTTGCTCGGATACTTCGGTAGCTCATTCTTCCGAGGTCGAGGCAAATCCATCGGCTGCGACAAACGCGCCTCCACCGACTCTAAACACATTGATCCATAGCTTCCATAATCCGATTTCACGTTCTCCCCACTTGACCCCTTCACTCCCGCCTCTATGTTGTTTGTCCTCTCACGCAATGCCGTCAGGCCGTGAACACCTTGTTGCTGCACCGCATGCCCTCCTGGCTGCTGCATTCGCAGCTCCCGCTCTCGTCTCATTTCTAGCACCTTCTTGTGTGAATGAGAATGCTTCGACGCCACGTACGTCGGAGACCCCGCCGGTCGGTACTCTGGGAGCAGCCTTCCTGACTTGTACCGCACCCCGCAGGCATTGCACAATGTCTTCGGCCCCATTGGACCCGTCCTCCATTGCGGGGTGCGCTGGGTTTGGCAGTGCATGCACCGCCACGGCTGCGAATTGTCCTGATTCTTCTTCCTCCCTTTGCTATTGCCGTTGCTGTTGGCGTTCGTGCTCACGCTATTCTTGCTCTGATTCTGGCTCTGACCACCATTATTCGTCTTGCATCGCTTGGAACCTTGCGAGTCCTCGTCGTCTTGCTCACCAGCATCCACCGTACTGTCGTCAGACCCGTCCTCCGACGACATGATTGGTGAGTAGGACAAAGAGTACGAGTCGGCTCCCATCGACTCAAAGCTATTCACAGAGGAGCTGGTAGGTATAATCCTCGACGTCCACGTCTTGGCACCTGTCCTTGACCTTTTGCTTCGTGCTCTTCCAGGCACAGACACATCCCTGTAATCTGGACCAGTGAATTCTGAAGAGGTTCCACTGGTCTCTAACACCGAGGTTGGGCTCGCTTTCTGGTATGTCTTGAAGTCATCGCATACTTCAGTGCTTTGCGTGCGCTCACTATTGCCTACTTGTGAAGAAAAATCATTGAAAGTTGAGAAAACCCCTGAGGTGTCGACCGCAGTGAACGAGTCTTCAACAAAGGAAGAGAGCCACTCAAGGTCGGCAAGATCATCATACTGCACGAAAGCATAGCTAGCACATTAATTTTTAACTCAAGAATAGCAATAGAAATTCTCAAACATGTATCGAGGACAATGCAAGGAAGGTACAAATCCTCATAAGTGCAAATTATATCTCTCAATGACATAGTACCCTTCACTGCTGCTCTCTGCAGTTTAAAGGTAAATAAAACATCCTCAAATTGCAATGCTTGTGCGACACTTCAGTTAGAAGACTTGCGATGGGGTGACAAACTAGAGCTGGTCCCCATTGAACTAAATTTCGAAGTCTGACAAACACAGATAAAAAAAACTTTATATATTGGACATTGACAAAGTTCAAACGCATGTGTAGATATCAAGGATCGTTTTTCTTCGACAACTAAAAATCTCACGGCAACGCGAGCTGTGAGAATCTGTACGTGACACCGGACAGTAAATTTTAAGGTTCAATTTAGAATGCAGCACGATAGCGATAGAAAACAAACTCAATTATATTTTAGCAGAAAAGCTTGTGAAGCATTCAAATATCGTTTTAAACAAGAACCGGGATCCAACTTGAAGCTTCTATCTAAAGCCGTATCTCCGACTTCGTGAAATTGTCGAACTACAATTCTATGAATACTCAACGACGACGTTTTCACAGAAAATGCACACCCAGCCATGTCCAAATAGTGAAACGAGCATTTAAGTTTAATCAACCAGAAATTTGTCTGATAGTTGTGCGCATTCCACTGACACAATGACTCGCATTCAAATGTGCGCAGGAGCACCAAATTTTCAAACTTACAGGCACACAGAGGTCTGTCTTCACTTCAATATCCCGGAGAGCAGGGCCTACTAGATCGCTTTCAACTTCGACAGAAGATGAGATGCTTGTCTCGCCTCCATTAACGGAACTCTCGTTCATCGCGCCAGAGACCTGCAACTCCCCTCCAACTACAGAACCTCCAATATCCTCGCAACTGAAGTTCAACAGGTCATCGATGTGGAAGACCTCCGGCAGGGCGGGCTTTTCCATCTCCGGTAGAAGTCCGTAAGAACCAGGGAGAGTATGCGGAGGAACCATTTTGAAGAGACCGACAAAAACACCTCTTCTCAATTTCCGTAGAATACAAACACCTCTCAAGTGCACTACTCAGCAACTGTCTATGAAGAACTTGAACAGCATTATTTGGTTTGTCTCTGAGCCCGAAGGCAGTTATTTCTCTAGCTCTTGCCCTTCCCTCTGCCAAATCAGCTTTCACCAAAAGAAAATAGCGAACTACGACTCGAAGCAAATGAACGAAATATATTTTCAAAAACTCTCTCCGTCTCTCTTTATTATCGGTTTCGAATTTTTTGCTGATTCTGCTGTCAACCGTAACGAAATTGTAAAGCAGAGCTTAATTTTTATGCATTTCGGATGCAGAATGCGGAGTTTGTTTAATTATCATGAGCCTTCGTACGAGCTGAGGTTTTTGTTCGACAAATTGCGGAACAACCAGCAAACGGCGAAGGAACTCCCAAAGCTTTTGCTTCTTTGAATGAGGGAACAGAGTATCGGAGCAAGTACTACGAGACAAAAGCGCTGCTGTTCTACGACAGGTGAAGGGGGAGAGAATGCGAGAGAGCAGCAAGTACATACTACAGCTCGACAGGTATGATACTGCGCCAAAATATGGTAACACCAAATCTCCTTCACCCTCAGACCTCCCTCTTTTTCTTCGCATCGAGCGTCAATGAGCTGCACTCTTCTCGCCAACGCGCTCGACCACAGACATTCCCCTCCTACACTCTTCCCACCCCAGACTAACCTTCCTTGTCGCGCCCCTCGCACCTATACGGAAAAAAAATTCCGTCCTGGACACGAAGCGCGGAGAAAGCTCGCGAAAAAATTTCCTGCTTATTTTTTTCCTCTCTGCACGCTCTGACAAGCGCAACGAGACCGGACTCGAGTCGACTTCACTCAACTCGACACGGAGGACTTGGTGGCCCCGGAATTCCGCAGCAAAGCGCGTAATCACAACTCTGAAAGAACGCCAAGACCTATACAACTATAGCAGGAGCCCTTTCCCGACGGCTTCATTTCAACTTACCACCTCGCACTCTCCCCCTCACCCTAGGTGACCAACTAACCCGAAGAGGCTTCCAAATCCGGCGTGCTCCGTGCTTTCCAGCAAGCAGCCGATCCCAAGCAGCTAAAGCTTTTTCCCTATTCAGCTTTTTTACCGGTCCTTTGTCCTCCTCCTCCTTTATTTTCTTTTGTCCCGACCTTGCCCTTTTGGCTGGTCAGTCAGTCTTACTGCGTGCTCAGCCGACAACGTCGCGGGCGATTATGACGATGCCCGCGTTGGTTCTGATGATTACCGCCCGGTCTTCAGCTCCCTCGTGCCAGTCTCCGTTTTCTTTTAAGGGGGATAACGTCAGAGCCATCACACGGCTGGCATGCACAGGGATGAGCGCAGTCTCGACTTAGCCCGTGGATGGCGTCCAAGACACCCCCCCCCCCTTTTTTGGATCCTTTTGAGCCCCGGATTCCAGGCCCGGCCCCATTCCTCCCTTGTTAAGTCCTGCGAGCTCTCTGTTCTCCCCTTTAACCAGGCGAAAGACGGTCCAGCCTGACTACCCCGTAGAAGGCACATTTCGCCTTTCTACCCTCTAGTGCAGGGTATACGCAACGGTGTATATCCGGATCTTAGGCTTCGGTGGTTGATACCCGGTGCGATGGAGCCGCGACGACGCCGTCCACTTTAATGGGGTGAGCCACGGCAGATGGCTGGCTCATGGAAGGATGGGAGAGGACTGCCATTACTCCCTCGCTGGTAGTTACTAGTTGGTAACCTCCTCGGAATTTGGGCACCTGTTTTCATGACTCCCCTAATACCCACAATCTTTGCCTTGCCACTTGGTGCCCTGGCAGCATGGTTTCGGATCCATTTTTTTAAACCGTTCAGCAAAGACTGTGTCACGCTTTCGTTCGTTGTGTGGATCTGCAACGTCAGTGAGTCTATATTTTGTGATTCACAGTTTCCTATCTTACAATACTCAATGCAAGGATTTTATTTTATTTTATTCCCCCTTTAATATTTGACATGGGAGAAAGAGGCTGAACAGAGTGGGTGAATCCAATTACACAGTTTCAATGCGAGTTTACATTTTTCTGACACTTTATTCTCTTATTAATCCATCACAGGAATTTGGTGCAAGTGGGTTGAATTGCATGTTCATTGACTGCAGTATCAATCCCAATACGTGGCTTGGAGTCACAAGTTGCAAAACAATCTTGTAACATGGGCACAATTTCAATCAAAAGACTTTGTAGGACAATCTGTGGAATCAAGAGGTCCATCTCATTAAATTAGATTATCTTACCTCATTTGCTTCATTACTATTATTGTTATTCATGTAGAAAGCCAAAAACTTACGCGGTAATGGGGAACCTGTGGACGCACCTTCCAAGAAGAAACACTTATAATGCCTGCAAAAAGGGTCCACTTCCTTCAAAACCCTGCGTTGCAAGTAGGCACATCCAACTCACAAGCTTTGACCACCACTCTCTGACAAGGCGCGGGCTTAGGGACCCAACATTTGACTGTGGAAGGAATATTATGTTGATGCCCAAAGAATGGGGGATGGCCACATGAGTAGGTGCTTTATTAGAGGTGGCTCCGAGTTTACCTCGGTAAGAACCCTCTTTTATGACAGGACAGAAGTGTTGGAGATTATGGCTTGAAATGGAATTAGAGCTGAGATTGGAGGCGAAGAATCTCCTAGCAATCTGCCGGTTCCATTGAGGTTCTTGAAGAATACTTTTTAATTATAGTTCAGTTCAGAGTAGTGATATCTGAGCTCCAGTTGGGTGCCAAAATAGACGCCACCCCTCTAATCTACTCATCTTCCCATGTGCCTCTTCTCTAACTCCCTGAGGTTTAACTGTCCCATATGCTTCATACACAAGAAATTAATATTATTACGAGAGAGAGAGAGAGAGAGAGAGGGGGGACTCAACCTCAGCGATGGTATATTTATTCTTGGAAGTCGAGTTGGATCAATAAACAATAAATAAATAATGTGGTATAAATTTTCTCAATTTTAAGACAATGTTGAACATCACTTTTTTACTCACAAAACAGTGTGAAAAGTAAAAATTTTCAGTTTTTATTTCAAGAAAGAAACTTGACGGCCCAAACTTTCATGCAGAAAATACATCAAGTCCTACATAATTGAAGGGGAGAGGTGTAGTTTACCCTTCAGTAGTCTCAAGTTAATTAAGAATTAATGAGTGGATGAGACTTAACCCAGGTGAACTCGAAGAATTCCGTGGCCAACCTCTCACCAAGGGGGTAGGTTTCAGTCCGTGTGACGTAGAAAGCAAGATTCGTCTTAGTTCTTAGCAACATACATGCAAGAACTCAGAAGAAGCGGAGGAATAAATTAGTTATTAGTGTGTCCAGACAGGTTTATTCCACGAAGTGCTCCTCAAAGTTAAGCAAATCCACCAGCTGTCTAAACCTCATCTCCGTGTCAGGAACGATATGAATCTGATGAACTCAGTGCCAACTATGACTTGAAGTTTGAGTGAGAGTCATAGTTGGCAAGTATATGATAAAGAAGAAGAATAATATTGCATTGTCCCCTAACACTCCACACCTTGGCTTACATTTTTGTCGATGGAGACTCCTAAAAAAATGAGCGAAGCGAAAAGGTGTTGCGAATAGTTACACGGAGGTTACTGGTGCGCTGAGGACATCTCAGAAGAATTTCGGGACGAAGACGTGGTGCTGCTACCTGCGTTGGGTCATTGAGGAAAGAACTCAGATAATTTGGATTCCAGTAAAGCGAAATGGGTTCTGGGCAGTCAGTTTCACGTGGCCAGCGGGCGCTTTTAGGTTCCCATTGTACACACCACCGCCTGCGCCAGTGGTGCCAGCCATGTGCATGACGAACTTTCGAGGGCCATGGGATGTTAGCGAGGGGAAGGGACAGGACTTAAGCAGAGTAATTTAAAATACACATAGGCTCGGCTGGGTAGTCCAAAAACAAGCCAGAAGACATGCTCCTCTGACACACCGCCACTAAATGGGATTGCTTCCTCCGTCCTACTGCGAAGGATTATTGGAAGGAGGCCACGATGCGGGCCTGATCTGTGACTGCTTACTGGAGATTTGCACATAACCTAATCAGCAATTCAACGGACCCGATCAGAGCCATCCGTGGGCTCAGCAGGACCGTTTTCACATGATAAAAAGCATTCAGCTCTGTCAAAGTTTGGAGGCGAAAACCGAAATCCCATCCAGTGACCATCCGTCACTCTTCGCGATTTTCTTCCATGTCTAGATTGAATATGTTCGTGGAAGCATTGTGGGGGATGGGGCGATGATAATTACCATTCAGAGTCGGTGTAAAGCACAGGAAACTGATAAAATGCCACGCCACTGTTCGTGAATGATTGAAAAAATTCCCCACCTTCTACTCCCCGGAAACCAGCAGTCACCGGGCAATCTCAAGAAAGGGCAACACACCTCCTTTTCCTAACTTCCAGCCACTTCCATCGTTGCTAACAGTAGGATCTGTGGTGCCGTAATGCCATGGGAGCAAAGCGGAACCACGCACTAGGTTCCTTCCTTTCTTCAGAAACAACAAACTTCCTTCCCATTCCGACGCCTGGAACCCACACGGGGGAACGCCGACTGCGAACGTGCGAGGGGAACCCCAGAGGCTATCGATAGTTGGGAACGCCGAAAGTGCGCAGGTAAACGCCAGTTGGTGACTCATCACGATCATAGGCGTTATCTATGACTGCGGAGGACGTGAGCGCCTCCGCTTCAGATAAATAAAAAAAGTACTCGCCGGGTATGTGCACCACTACTGTGTTCATTTGAGGATATCAATCGAAAGAGCATGTAAGACGTACGAGTTCGTCCTTCCGTCCGTTCGTCCGTCTGACTGTGTGTGCGTGCGTGCGTTCGTTCGTCCGTATTGGGACGTGGAGGTACTATTCAACTCAGTCCGCAGCGTGGTAAGGAGAGGCTCATGGTCTCGCCGAATTTTTCCACAGTTTAAAAGCTAATTTGAAACTTTTTGAAACTAGTTGCTATCAGATATTCCCAACTTGCCATGCATGCAGAAATCTACCTTTGGAATTGGAAATCTTATTCAATGTCTGCAGTGTACAGCTGTGGATATTTCTTTGTGTGGTCATTAGAATGTGCAAAAAAAGGAACCAGGATGAAATTCAAGCACCTCTCTTGAGTTATGGACATGATAAGATCAATGAGAGAAACCATGAAATTAGTAATGCAATCAACTATGTCCATGTGGGTGTATTTGTATGACAACAAAGGACATGTTTGTTGTGGGAGACAAACAACATACACATAAACAAATGATAAATACAAGGGCTTCTTTGTTGAAGAGAATGGGAATTTCAGTTGGTTCAAAGCAAGAATTGACCCAGAATTAAAAATTAACAAAATCTCTTCACTTGCTTCACAAAACACAGATTATTTTTCTTAAGTGTGTGTGTGTGAATGCATGTTTGTATATACATACACACAAAGATTTTTCTTGTCAAAATTTAAATTTTTATATTACTATTTTATTTTTCTCTGCTAAGGGGGACATGTTCTTGGTCTTGCAAAGCTTGAGCACTTTAGAATCATTCACTGTGAATGGTCTGTTGTTGAGGAATTTGTCTCCACTGTCCAACCCCAACAATTGCTTAACTGAGGCTCCCTCATTGTCATCATACCAAGTAGGCAGCTGGAGGCTGTCTGGAAATTATTATATATTGTATACATACAAAATAAATCAAACAATCAAATCAATAAAAAAAATCTTTTCATCCATGAATTGAAACATAAAACCTGCCAGATGGGAAAATCAGGGACAACACAGCAGACAATGCACATGGCAAGGAGCAACCAGTCTATAAGTTATAGAATAAAATGAAAAATTGTGTTCTTAAATTTGAAAGTGGGTTCTGCAACTATATACATATGTATACATCTAGAGAGTTTTTATTAAAACCTTTATCTACAGTATATCTTTGAACCTGAATCAAATAACATTTT